GCAGGTTGTTAATGAGTCTTCCTCCAATCCTGATGCCACATTCTTCTTCATATAGTCCAGCTTCTCAGATTATTTTCTCAGCATATAGATTGAATAAGTATGGTGAAAGGATACAACCCTGACACACAACTTTCCTCACTTTAAACCATGGAGTATCTCCTCATTCCGTTCAAACGACTGCCTCTTAGTCTATGTACAGATTCCTCGTTAGCACAATTAAGTGTTACGGAATTCCCGTACTTTGCAGCGTTATCCATAATTTATTATGATCCACACGGTTGAATGCCTGCCTTTGCATAGTCAATAAAACACAGGTAAACATCTTTCTGATATTCTCTGCTTTTAGCCAAGATCCATCTGACATCAATGATATCCGTCATTCCATGTCCTCTTCTGAATCCAGCTTGACTTTCTGATATTTACCTGTCGATGTACTGCTGCAGCCGCTTTTGAATGATCTTCAGCAAAATTTTACTTGTGTGTGATATTAATGATATGTTCGATAATTTCCGCATTCTGTTGGATCACCTTTCTTGGGAATGGGCACAAATATGGATCTCTTCCAGTCAGTGGGCCAGGTAGCTATTTTCCAAATTTCTTGGCATAGTGCTGCATCCATTTGTTGAAACATCTCAATTGGTATTCTGTCAATTACTGGTGCCTTGTTTTTCGTGTCTTCAGTGTAGCTTGTACTTCTTCCTTCCTTGATCATATGCTACCTCCTGAAATGGCTGAATGTTGACCAATTCTTTTTGGTGTAGTGACTCTGTATTCCTTCCATCTACCATGCTTCCTGTGTCATTCAGTATTTTCCCCACAGAATCCTTCAATATTGCAAGTCAAGGCTTGAATTTTTCTACAGTTCTTTCAGCTTGAGAAATGCCGAGTGTGTTCTTCCGTTTTGCTTTTCTAACTCTAGGTCTTTGCACGTTTCATTATTATACTTTACTTTGTCTTCTCGAGCTGCCCTTTGAAATACTCTGTTCAGCGCTTTTACTTCATCATTTCTTCCATTTGCTTTAGCTACTGTATGTTCAAGAGCAAGTTTCAGAGTGTCTTCTGACATCCAATTTGGTCTTTTCTTTCTTTCCTGTCTTTTTAATGACCTTTTGCTTTCTTCATGTATGATGTCCGTGATGTCATTCCATAACCTGCCTGATCTTCGGTCATTAGTGTTCAGTGCATCAAATCTGTTCTTGAGAATAATTTTCTTCACCTTCAGCTTGAACTTGCATATGAACAGTTGATGGTGTGTTCTCCAGTTGGCCCCGGCCTTGTTCTGACTGACGATATTGAGCTTCTCCATCATCTCTTTCCACAGATGTAGTTGATTTGGTTCCTGTGTGTTTCATCTGGTGAGGTCCATGTGTATAGCTGCCATTTATGTTGTTGTAGAAAGTATTTTCAATGAAGAAGTCGTTGGTCTTGGAAAATTCTATGTGATCTCCAGCATTGTTTCTGTCACCAAGGCCAGATTTTCCAAGTATAGATCCTTCTTTGTTTTCAACTTTCGCATTCCAGTACCAGTAATTATCAATGCATCTTGATTGCATGTTGCATCAATTTCAGACTGCAGAAGTTGGTAAAAATCTTCAGTTTCTTCATCTTTGGCCTTATTGGTTGGTGTGTAAATTTGAATAATAGTTGTATTAACTGGTCTTCCTTGTAGGTGTATGGATATTATCCTATCACTGACAGCATTGGATTTTAGAATAGATCTTGAAATGTTCTTTTTGACAATGAGTGTGATGCCATTCCTCTTCAATTTGTCATTCCTGGCATAGTAGACAATATGGTTGTCTGATTCAAAATGGCCAGTACCAGTCCATTTCAGCTCACTAATGCCTAGAATATTGATCTTTTTGCATTCCGTTTCATTTTTGACAACTTCCAATTTTCCTAGATTCATACTTTGTGCATTCCACGTTTTGATTATTAACGGGTGTTTGCAGCTCATTTTGAGTCATGCCAGACAGAATTCTTTATAAAGAATACCCATCTTAGGTTCCATCTAAGGAAGCACAAAACCAAGAAGTATCATCATGGTATGATTGATACTTTTAGTATTCTGGAAGTAGGAGAAGTTCTTTCATTCAAAACAAATGAAAGATAAAAGATAATTTTTTGACTGTTCTGTGTTTTACACAGTTTAGATAATACTGTTTAGATTTTTCTTCGGTCGTCTTACACAAGTATGAAAACACATTTCATTTTTAATGAACTATTAAGCTCAGACAAAACGAAGAAAATACTATTCTGACACCAAATACATAAATGAATTACATCAGTTTTATGTTTATAAATATTGTTTAAACCACATTTATCGTGTGCCTGTTATTTGCGAAGCACTGTGTTTTCATTTTCTTGTTTAATTTTCACAGTAACCCCATGAGTTGTCGTCGTTAGTTGTTGTTGAATTGATTCCAACTCATGGTGACCCCATGTGTGTCAGAGTAGAACTGTGCTCCATCAGGTTTTCAAGGCTCTGACCTTTCGGAAGCACATCTCCAGGCCTGTCATCCGAGGCACCTCTGGGTGGGTTTGAACTGCCAGTCTCTCAGCTGGTAGTCAAGCGCCTAACCATTTATACCACCAAGGGACTTCAGCCCCATGAGAGAAGTGCTTTTATTCTCCTTCTACAGATACAGAGAATAAAGTTTAGAGTTTGTGACAGTTCCAGTAAATGAGAGATCCAGTTGGCAGTTACTGCAACTGTGAAATAAATGTATCGCTGATTTTAGAGTTTGTTCATTTAATCTTACAAAGAAATCAATACAAGATATCTGGCAGATGAATATTCCCAGTCTATAACCAGCGTTATTCCTTTCCCTCTTAAGTTTAGATTTGCATGGGTTCCTATTTGATCTGCTATTCATTCCTGGTACAGTCCGTAGAGTTGGTTAATTATGCTGTACTTTAGTTTGTATTTCTAAGGCTAAATAACCTTAAAAAACCTGTTGCTGTTGAGTCGATTTTGACTCATAACAACTCTATAGGACAGAGTATAACTGCCCTGTAGGGTTTCGAAGGAGTAGCTGGTGGATTTGAACTGCTGACCTTTTGGTTAGCAGCCGAGCTCTTAACCACTGCACCACCAGGGCTCCAAATAACCTTAGAGATTACTTAATCTTGAGCTACAAAGACTCTCTTAACCATTTGATATCTGTCTGAATCTTTTCAGTCACAACTGTGCATTTCATGAGAAATCATTTTTCTGAGTCTTGACCTCTCTTGAGAATCCTAGTGATGGGGAGTTAATGACAGCTGTGCTTAATGTTGTTCTGACAGATGTTTCTCTGTTTAAGAACATGCGTGGCCTGTGCTTCATGTCAGAGCAAATAACTTAGTCACTTAATTTTAATTGGTTTTAACTTCAGTCCTCTGAACCATTTGATGTAATAACCATATGGTATTTTGTCCTTTTAGAATTCAAAACATTTGTTTTCAGAAGTCCACTTAAAATTATATAGGTCCTAAGAAAAACCATGTAACATGTCTTATTTTATTGTAGATTTCTAAGCATTGTGATATAGAAGGATATAAAGTTGCCTGTCATTGTTGCTTGTTTCTCAAAATTTGCATTCTGCTTGTCTGTAGGACAACAAAGTGAATGGGGTAACCTGCTGTACCCGGATGCTGGGCTGTACATACCTCTACCCTTGGATCCTCCCCCAGCCCCACATATCTTCCACTCCACTTACTATTCAGGATGAGTTGCTGATTCTGGGGAACAAAGCATTGTGGGAACACTTGTCATATACAGAAGCTGTTAATGCAGTGCATCATGTACAAGACCCATTAACAGCTGCCAAGAAGCTGTGCACTTTAGCACAGAGCTATGGTTGTCAGGACAATGTGGGGGCCATGGTGGTTTATTTGAACATTGGTGAGGAAGGTTGCACTTGTGAAGTGAATGGGCTTACCCTTCCAGGTCCTGTGGGATTTGTTTCAACCATCAAGGACCACCCCAAGCCAACCACTCCTTCCTCTAGTAGTGGTATTGCCTCTGAGTTCAGCAGTGAAATGTCCACCTCAGAGGTGAGCAGTGAAGTGGGATCCACAGCTTCTGATGAACACAACACTGTTGGCCTGGATACTGGCTTGCTTCCAAGGCCAGAGAGGCGCTGCAGCCTTCATCCAACACCCACCTCTGGGGTTTTTCAGCGCCAGCCTTCTTGTGCGACTTTCTCAAGTAATCAGTCTGACAACGGCCTGGACAGTGATGATGATCAGCCCGTTGAAGGGGTCATAACAAATGGCAGCAAGGTAGAAGTAGAAGTAGATATTCATTGCTGTAGAGGAAGAGATCTTGAGAACTCTCCCACTTTTATAGAGAGTTCTCCTACCCTGTGTCCTGAGGAACATGCTAGAGGCTTGTTTTTTGGGATCCGAAGACAGAACAGTGTGAATAGTGGCATACTCCTGCCAGTGAGCAAGGACAAGATGGAATTGCAGAAGTCACCCTCTACTTCCTGTCTCTATGGAAAGAAACTCTCCAATGGCTCTATTGTGCCCCTAGAAGATAGCCTGAATCTCATTGAAGTGGCCACAGAAGCCCCCAAGAAGAAAACTGGCTATTTTGCTGCCCCAACTCAGCTGGAGCCAGAGGATCAGTTCGTTGTACCTCGGGATCTGGAAGAAGAAGTGAAGGAGCAAATGAAACAGCACCAGGAAAGCAGGCCCGAACACGAGCCCAGTGAACAAGATCGGACTGAGGTCCCGGAGGAGTTTGACACAGCACTATAATTCACCCCCAGAAGCCACACTTTTAGAGAGGGCTGTGTCAGTGTTGGTGTAGGGACTATTCCAGAGGCATTATGCCACTGTGTTTCTAAAACATAGATGAGTGGGGTAGAACTCAGAGCCAAAAAAGGTGAGAGCCATCAGGGTCTTGCTCTGGTTAAGCTAGTAGCTACTATCAGTGTTAAGTTTCACATTTAACCTGTATTGGAATTCCCAGAATTGTTGGGAAGAAAGCAGATGTTGTTCTGTATCAGTCCTACCACCTGCCATTAACCCTTTCTCTCCTAGGATACTTTTGAGAATTTGCCTGCCTGGGCAGGAAAGGGACTATTTCTGTGGAAGAAATTTCTGAAGATTGATTCCCGTTACTAATTGCTGCTGATGGATCTCTGTGACAGAGAAATCACCTTATATCTCAACCTAACTGATGGAATGTGATGTGACTAGTCACATGGCTTTTCATTCTTCTCTACGAGAATACAGCCTATCAAAATGACATTTATTGGAAATGTAGAACCAATCGGATAATTTATGTATGTAATGTAATGAGAGCACTTTTCATTGACTGTGAACTTTTTACTTTTGAATCTGCATTCGAGCCAATCTTCTTAGAGGCAGCCTGGCACCTTTGTCCATAGGAAGAGAGATAACCGGGTGTTGGAGACTTCTATGAGGGTACTAGAAAGGGCCATGGGAAATTGATTGCCCAGCAGATCACAAGAGAGGAATTTGGGGATTGGCCTCTTTCCATCACGTATGATACAGTTGGCAGTCAGTCTCTTAAGACGTAGGGCCAAGGCTGACACTTCTTGTGTCCAAGTAATCTTGAGGCACAGCAGATAACAGACAGAGGCTGAGTGAGAACAGATGATGGATGAATGGAGCTCATGTGTTAGACGTGTTCCGTCTCATTCTAGAGCAGAGGGATGGTTTTCTAAAATACCAGAAGTGAGTTGAGAATTCACCTCTTTAATGTTCAGCAGAGTACTCTTATGAAAACTGCTTATCTACCTTACGTGGTTTCAGAGTACTGGGCTCAGTTACCAAGAAAGACTCTTAATTGAGAAATTCCTAAACTTAAGAAAACTTGGTGTACTGTGTTTTTTTGGCACATTCCACGTAATCCTAGCAAAAATGTATTTCCTTGCATATTTCTGTTCTGTTGCCTTTTCCGTTAGATTTACTTAGGAAAATTAATCCTACTTATATTCATACAAAATTTTGACATTGCTTGATTTTACCAGGTGGGGAATGTGCTTTGAATTTTTTGGAATAGTTTCACAATTAAAGAGAAAATAGAGTGGAACCTCTTTTAATTTGTTTCATTAGAAACAAAATGTTAAAAGATAGGGGTGGTATATATAGTCCTTTGTGTTTTTTTAAGTTTTTGTTTAAAGCAATAGTAGAAAACCAGATGACCCATCCACAAATGGATGTGCAGTCTTCATCTGCCTCCAGGCTCCATGCCTGTGGGTGAGTCAGTGGAGTATGCTCTTGAGGGATTCTGTACCCCTCAAATCGCCCTCAAAATCGGAATGAGTCCTTGAATTGTCAGGAACACTTGATTTTCCTGTGTCAAACTACTGGTCAGCTATTGAAAGATTTTAGAACTCAGGTCTTTGATTTGAAGGAGGGAACATGGGGGGAAGAGGGGGTTTCATGTGAAGTTTAGGTGCTGTTAGAGAGATGGGAACAATAGTGTTGTCACCTTATTTTTATATGGGGAAAAAATGGAGGAAAAAAACTCAAGATGGTAGTGATGGCTGATGTAAAACATCTTCCTACCCAGACAGAAGAAACTTCGGGTTATAGGATAGTGATGCTATCTAGAAGTGAAGGTTATTTGGGGAAAATACCACTTTAATAATATAGTCTTATAAAAATTGTTGTTTGTCTGTGAATTCTTTTCTTGTCTTCTCTTTGTTTCCCACCTTGCTTATTGGAACCACCATAAAACCCAGTTCTGAAATGGAACCACCATAAAACCCAGTTCTGAAATGAGCTTACCAGATGTAAATGTATTTACTTTTTAGTCAGCAGAACTCTGAAATCAAAAATGTTCTTTTATGTGGTAAAAGGTTATTTTTAGGAAATATTAGGTCGTATTGATGAAAACCTTTAATATACATAATACCAAAACTGATTATTCTTCTTTAACCTCTTTTAATTCATTTCCTTCTACATTTGCTCTGTATTAAAACAGAGGGTAAAAAGGTCATAGCCCATTACCAAAAATAAAATACAGAATTCTTGACCTATGAAGTAATTTACAGAAATTGTGCTTTCTGATTTTGTTATCTGATTAAGCTATCTGATAAATTGGTGAAATTCAGTAAACTGTCTCCAGGTGAATGTAATCTACTCTCCAGTACTTCACTGAGATGACACGTTGCACAGTTGGGCAGAGTACAGTTGATCTCTAGCCAGGGATTCTGGCTTCTGCATGATTCTAAGGTCTCTATGAGTACCCCCTACTTAATAGAGAATTTTAACCGAATTTCTGAAAGAACACTCCTAATCATGGGAAGAGTTCATGTGTCCCATGGACAAGAAAATACACGAGTATTGGCAGACATGGTATTCTTACTTTTATCCAAATAAATTGGAAATATATTTGAAAATTTGAATATTGATAGGCATAAAGCTACAGGGCTTTATTATACTACTGTAGAGTGTATGTGTGCAATACGTTGGTGAATTCATTTTCCTGATGTATACAAGAGCCGACAGGAGCAGCCTGGTAATCATTGGGTGCTATTAAAATTGTAGTGAGTGCTATTTTCCAGGAGATGGAGCCAGTTAGGTTTGGCCGATCTACTGAATATTAAATGATGCTCTTCTTTCCATGTAGACCTTCAGCAAAAGCAGGTACTTGGAAGCCACAAGCTCACCTTCTCTGTCTGTTCAATAGTTATTAATGAAGAGACCTCCATAAGGGAGCACTTAGCTGTTATTGGTAAATGTACCAATTATTAAATAATTAGTCTCCAAGCCATTCAGTGATGTCTGCAGCATCACTATAGAACTGTCTTGTGTCACTTTTACTTCCCTCTGAGTGGAGCCTTTCAGACTCCCCGATATGGAGGCAAGTTAATCTTTCTCTCCAGTTAGTGATTTTTGCCCCATAGTTGGGTAAGCACTTCCTAGATTGAAAAAACAGCTACGGTAAATCCTGCTGTTTCCCTCATTTTGTGATCATTCTATCACATATAAGCTCCTTGTATTCTGAATTTCATGCACTTCTCCCAGATGCTATAGGGTTTTTTCTCACTGTTGCTTATGGATGTCATTCAGACAGTGGGTTCATATTTTATGGTTTTGTGCAATCATTGTCGTATTGTAGTCCTAAGACTCATTATAGTGTATTTTTGATATTTTTGAAATGTGTTAAATTTTTTAATTCAATAATATGAGCCAGAGCATGTTGCAGCGAATCTATTGTTTGTAAAAAAAAAATAATAATAATAAAATAAAATGGAATATCTTTTTCATGACTTCGTTTTAAAATGGAGTACTTGTTATTTTACAAATATGCATGACACCAACTTTTCTCTCCTAACTTGTATGTAGAATTAGTTTCTTAATCAAAAGCTCCTTAATGAGCTTTCTGCTTTTTCATGCTTTAGGGAAGATAAGCAAGAACAAACAAATGAAACCATTCTGTGATGCTTTATGAAGCAGTGAGTTAAGGCAAGAATAAATATTTTTGATCACCTTTTCAGTTGAAATAGCACTAAAGTTTTTAAGAAACATTATATTCTGACTTTATGTTTCAAGAAATCTCAAAGACAGGAAACAGTCCTTATTTACATGCCTGTTACTAGATGACTAGAGGAAACTGAATTGTGAACAGTCTACCCCTAACGGCAACACAGAAGAGCTAATTGGATAATCTGGCCATTACGCTTTTCATAAGGTAATATAGCTTTGGTGTTAGAACTTCAGACATGGTGGTGGGCATTGGCTAACAAAGTACTTATAATCCTGTTAAGCCAAACTGTCCATTGGTTGTCTCCCATAATCTCTGGACTTCCCAGCAAGATTTTCTTACCTTTCACTTCAAATTAGAGCTGAGGTTTCCTCTTTTTCTGGGAGAACAAACATTTTAAAAACTTGGTTCAACAGCTGTTTATTGAGCACTTTAAATGTGCTGGGCACTATGCCACCACCCCCTTTAAAACCTCAGATCTGTGAGACATATCTCCCAATTCCAGGGTGCCAGAAATGAGGTTCTCTGAATGTGCTGGTCTTTGCTTCATGTAATACTAATTCCGTGATAAACCAAAGGTCAAGAGTAGGTTAATCATGCAGAAAAAATTCCAGTGTGTGATTCAATTCCTAAATCCTGCCTCTGCTACTTAAGATTTGTGACTTTAGGCAGTTTATTTAATCTCTATGTAAACGCTCAGTTTCTTTCATTTGCTAAATGGAAATAATGGTATCTTCAGTTAATTGTGACCTTAAATGAGATAATACAAGCAAAGTGCTTCCTTAGCACAATACTGTACCCTTCACACAGCGAGCACTCGAAATGTTAACTATTGGGTAAGCCACTTGGTTTCCTCATCTGTAAAATATGTATGAATAATATATCTTGACCTGCCTCCCTCACAAGTGGTAGTAAGACAAGGTTTGCTAAAACATCTTGAACGTTAGGAAACTGTACAAGCATGGGGCATGTTATTATAGTGTCAATGGGCTGCATTTCCTTAAGAGGAGCTAAAGCGCAGAACAAGATCACGAAGGGGCCCAGGCACAAAGCTGGGGTCAGAGAAGAATGGCCAAATCCCCCACTTCATCAAGCACAACACCTAGGGGTGGGCAAAGATCTGATAGGGGCACATTTCAGGAAATAAGTGCTTGCTAGATGAGAATTGTGGCCAGGGGAGGAGTAGTTCTTTTCCTTGGTGGGGGTGGGAGTAGTTCCTTTGATTTTTGCTGCTGTTAAATGTCTTGTTTACCACTTGGTGAAAACTGGGACTCCAGCCACTGCCTCGAGGCTAAGGGTGGTAGAGCAGAAGCACCTGTCTGCGACACAGCAAGCTTTTTTATTTTAACCTAATAATGTAGATTTTCACTTGATTATTTTCATTTGAGCTTTACTGTTTATAAACATGTAATCCAGATATTTCCGCATTTCTGTATGAAGTTTAATTTTGATCCTTTGTTTTGAAAAAGTTCTATAAGAATTAGCTATTGAAAAGCAAGAGACAATTAGAAAAAAAACTAAGAATGCATATTTCTAGTTGCATCTGACATGAACTGGTATGTTTGAGACTACTTACAAAGTATAAGAACAGCTATAAAACACTTTAGATTAAAATTACTGAAATAACTTTATTTTTAAGGTTCAATGTTGGTGATCTGTTACATTATGAAAACAATTGAGGGCAATGAGAAATTACTATCTACCTTTGACATCCTAGTCTGTACAGGACACTGGGGGAAGGCAGAAATGACAAAGCCTCCAATAAGCTTTTATAGTCTAGTAAAATTAACTGCTTTATCTTTTAAATCAGTTGAATAACAAGTTTAAGACAAGTTCATGAACTTTATTTCTTATTATTTAGAAACCTCATAGTTAAGAAAACTATAAAATATTTCAGGAAAGCGAACTTCAGTTGGATGACTTAAAAGTAACTGACTTGGAATGGCTAGCAGAAACAAAAACAAAAATAAACATTTCTCTCGGCCCTAATACAGAATCATGAGCAGGAACATGCATGCGTGCTAAAAGCATCTCAATGAATCAGGAATCCAACCTACCATCTCAAACAGAAGAATAGCTCCTTGGGACCCAAGGCAGTCCCAGTACACTGCTGTGCAACCCTCTTTATATGCAGAATAGTTTCCCTCTAGATAAGTCAGAATGTAATTACTCATTTAGAACTCAAATCACACAACTGCTTTTAAGATCCTCCCCCTGGGGCCAAATATGAGGGGAGATATGGCATGTTTCTTTTGATGACTTTAAATGGTTGTGATAGGTAAGATACTTCTACTGTAACACTGGACCTGCTACCCTCTGATGTGTAGTTCTCATCTTTCAGAATTTCTCTGGGGAGTTAGGAACTACCATTGTTCCGTTACCATTTGGTAAGAGAGTAGTAATACCATAAGGGTATACCCAAACTTCTGATGTTGCCCTTTGTTGGAGATAGTTTTCAAGCTCTCATCAGTTAGCTAACAAGGATTTATTGATCTCCTTTTACAGTAGAAAAATGAGACAATCATTTAGCTTTGTTCTGGTACCAAAAGGAGCATTCATGAAATCAAGTAAGCAAAAATAAAAAAAAATTTATCTAATATGCAATTTTAAAGGACCAGATTTTTTGAGAGAAACAATGAGGCATTGACATTTAGGTTCCAGAAGATCTCAAAGTATTCCAGACCACAGGTATTCTGGTGGATCACTGTAATTTCTGTGCTCTTCTTGGCTGTCTTTGTAGTGCTTCTGTTCTCGGTAGCTCCGTAGGGCCAGCACCATGCTGGCACCGTACATAATCACAAGAAGACAAGCAAAGGTGGCTGCTGCCCCATCAGTGCCTGCTAGCTGGCAGTTCATCCAGGTGAGACCCCTGCGGGCATAGAGCCTCTCTCTTGCTTTGCAGGTGTCTGTGGAATTAATCTGTAGAGCTACATGGAGATAAATGCCAATGCCTATGCAGTAGCCCACTGCCGCTAGGAGGCTGAAGGCAGCCTCCATGAGAAGCCACTTCCCAGACAGTTTTTTTAGGCTCTTGGCTCCTTGGAGTAAAACACCCATGGTGAGGACACCCAGCCCCAAAGAAACAGCCACGCCACCATATATCAGGGGTGCCCGGAGGACCGCGTACTGCTGGTCCAGCTGCCGAACCTGCTCCAGCTCAGTGCCCTCAAATGGTGAGTGATAGCTGTTCCCAAATCCACTGCCGCTGGTGAAGCTGGCACTGAATCCAGCAAGGACAAAGTAGGAGGCCACGATACACATGAGAACCATCCCATTCAATATCACCTCCACTATCTGTACCACACCTAGGAGGAGAGAGATTCAGGATTTAACACTGACAGTACTCACCCAGGAAAACTCTCCAGGTCAAACTACAGAAATACCACTGGTGACTTGATTTTAAGGTCATGATCCAATTCAATTTTAACATCCTTAGTTGGCCCCCTCCCCCCTTTTAAATATTCACGTTTGAAAAATCAAAGTACCACTCTGGAAAGTTGTTTGGCAGTTTCTTAAAAAACTAAACATACACTTACCATGCGACCCAGCAACTACACACTTAGGCGTTTACCCTAAAGAAATGAAAACGTCCACACAAAACCATGTACATGAATGTTCACAGCAACTTTATAACAGCCAAATATTGGAAACAACCCAAATGTCCTTCAATGGGTGAGTGATTCAACAAATGGTAGTACATCCATATCATGGAATACTACACGGCAATAAAAAGGAATGAAATATTAATATAACTCAAGGGAATTACGCTGAGTGAAAAAAGTCTCAAAAGGTTACATACTATATGATTCTACTTATTATAGCAATCTTGAAATGACAAAATAATAGAGATGGAGAACAGATCAGTGGTTGCCAGGGGTTAGCAACTGCTGGAAGGGGGAAGGGAATGGGTGTGAGTGACTATAAAGGGATAGCGTGATGGAGTCTTGTGGTGATGGAACAGTTCTGTATTAGGTTGTGGAAGTGGTTACAGGAATCTACACATACTAAAACTGCACAGAACTAGACACACATGCACAAGCACACACAAATGAGTGCATATAAAACTGGTAAAATCTGAATCAACTCTGTGGATTGTACCTGTGTCAATTTCCTGGTTTTGATATTGTATTATACAGTATGTACCAGTTACCACTGGGGAAACTGGGTAATACACAGGAACTCTCTGTACTATTTTTGCAACTTCTGTGAATCTACTTCAAAATAAAAAGCTTTTAAAAAATCAAAATGACATAAAAAGGTATAAAATGAGAAATTTCACTCCTGCCGCCATCCACCCTTCTCTCTACCCCCGACAGCTTTTTATTAGTTTCTAGCAGGGGCAGATTAACCAGTAAGCAAGGTATGCACATGCTTACTTGTGCTTATTTACTAATTTGTAGTGCACGATTTAACCTGTTTCTCACATCTGATACACCCACTGATTGAACCAGAATCCTACTGATGCGGACTGGGGCTAATCAACTGAGAGTTTCTTACAAGTTTAAGGAATATGCTTATTGGGTAATCCACCCCTGGTTTCTAGTATAACTTAACAGGGTTTTTTTTTAAGCAAATAAAAGCACACTCAAATCTGCCTTTTATCTCCCCCTTTCCCTGCTTTTTTCCCAAAAGGAAGCATATCATATACACTGTTCTGCATCTTGCTTTTTCCACTTAATATATCCTAGAGGTGTTTCCAGATCAGTTCCTAGAGAGTATCCACATTATTTGTTATGCAGCCTCCAACTCTATTGTGTGGATGAACCCATTTATTCAACCAGAATCCTACTGATGAGGACTGGGGCTGCTCACTTGAGAGTTTCTTACAAGTTTAAGGAATTTGCCATGAGACAGCGGGAGCCAACAGGTGAACAGGCTTAATGTGTCCTTGCCCAAGGTCAGCTTTCATTTGTTACTGACAGAAGACCCAGACTCTTCTTAGGTGTACTTCTGGGAGAAAGTCTGTCATTCTCTCAGGGTTCGGAGATGAGAACTAAGACAAAAGCATGATTATTGAATATCAAGGTCAAGTCTTTGTTTGCTCTTTACTGCCATGTGACCTTGGCCAAGTCATTCAGTTTTTCTAAGTCTTAGACATTTCGTCTGATAAATGAAAGTAACGCCTGCCTGTCTTATCCCACAGGGCTGTGGTGAGTCTTGAATGAAAGAAAGTACATGAAAATGCTTTGAAAATCATAAAATGTTATACAAATGGATGGTGTACTACTCAGTAACATTTATAAAATGGAAGGGGATTAGTAAGAGATTTAAGAAGAAATGGGACCCATTTATGAAAAAAAGGATGGATTCCCAGAAAGTAGGAAAAGCCTCTAACACACTAGAGGGTCATACTGAGCCCCACAATGTTTATAAACTGGGCAGTTAAAGACTGGAACTTCGGCAACAGCTACTGGGCTTGCTGATCCTATCTCCTGCTGAGCCCACACAAATTCCTACGAGGTCCATGGGACACAGCAGTCAAGGGCTCTGAGAGTTCAGAAACTACATTCCTCTAATTTAAAACTGAAAATACCATCAGACCAAAACATCCCACTCTCCACCCAGGCACTATGCGCTACAGGCCATTCTCTCCCTCCAGCAGAGTAAGTGGACTGACCCAAACACCATTCTAATTGATGTATAGTGGTAGCAAGTTAATCTCACCCCCTGAAGGTAAACAGGAATACTGTAGTACTACCAGATATAGAAAACCTGAACGTTGTCCTTCTGGGACTGATTCTGTCAAGATAGCGGAGTCACAATCTGTGCAACATATAACTGCTAGGATGAAATGGAATAAATCTAGATCTTGTCAACCACTCCACTGACTCCAACACTTGTGAGAATAATGGTCTTCTGCCAGGTCAGATGATATTGGTATGTTGAAGACAATTTGGCCACTGAATATTATCACAGGTACCTGCCAAGGCCTAGCCTGGCTTAGCTATCAATATCAAACAGGCCCAAGTATTTCCAAGCATGCTGTTAGTGCAGAAAGAATCACCCATCAGGAGGAAAGAAAAAGGGCAACTATCAGAGCTAGCCTTGGAAAAAAGGCCTGGTGATCTACTTCTGAACAATCAGCCATTGAAAACTCTGTGGAGCACAGTTCTATTTTGACACATGAGGTCACCACAAGTCAGTCTCAACTCGATGACAACTGATTATCAGAGTTTATTTTTATGAAGGATGGGACAAGTCTTCAAAAAGACAGCAGAGGGCTCTGTAGAGGAAAGTGGAGTGAAATAAAAATGGGATTTGTGTTGCCAATAGCTTCTTTCCTGTGAGACTGCTTTTGTGGCTGGTCATTTAATACTCCACATGATTATACATCTACTTCTGCCTTTGCATTGTAAATGTGGTCCTGAGAAAAACTGAGGAGATCAAATTAAATTTTTTAATTTCTAAAATAAAAATAATACATGTGCAGTCAAGCCGTGCATAAAATGAAAAATAAAAATCCATTCTCTTCAGAAGCAAATACTATTAATACTTTCTTATATATTCTTTAAGGAGCCCTAGTGGCACAGTGGTTAAGCATTTGGCTGCTAACTGGTAGGTTGGTAGTTCAAACCCACCCAGCAGCTCCACAGGAGAAAGACCTGGCAATCTACTCCCATAAAGATTACAGCCTAGAAAACCGTATGGGGCGGTTCTCCTCTGTCCTGTAGGGTCGCTATGAGTTGAAATCGACTCCATGGCACCCAACAACAACATGTATTCTTTGAGAAATTTTCTTATCATATGCAAGCACATATATGTATTTCCTTTTCTAAACCCAAATGGAACTCACCTTTTAAATGTGGTAAGTTGTATTTAAAGGAATAATAATATAAACATATTGTAAAGAGAACTATCACCTCCAAATTAATATTTCTCTTTGGATTTTTATTGGAGTCATAGAAAGCACACATTTATTTTTACCAAGAATATATTTTAATATTCCATAAGTCATAATTCAATGTGCAATAAGAACCCATGATATTGTCTGGCCAAAAGTTACAGACTGTTCTGTTGGGAAAGATTTGCAATTCTTTTCTTTTGGATGGATCCTGAATACCAGATGCCAGGTTTAATTCTTCATACAATGGTACATTTACAAGAGGTACAAAACACTTACTGAGCTTTCAAAGCAATTGTAAGGGGCTTGTAGAACAGCTTCTTTGCAACCCAGTGAATTAATTTGATTCCTCCTTCGTAGGTCCACGCCTAACTCCAACTGAATTTTTAGAGTAGTCTCCCTAGAAACCCTCTTCCCCTCCACCAGAGCTTTAAGGAAGTGGAAGAAATGGAGAGTGCAGTCTGGAAAAAATTCTGGGCTAATCTGCTTAAGACAGCTGTGTTTAGAAAAGTTAAGGCCAAAATCGTCTCATGTCTATGTGGGGCTTTTCATAAACGTTGAAGATAAGGTTCTTCACATTCACTTAGTTATTTCCCTTTGTTTAATCAAGAAGTGCCCTTTGCTGTAGCACATGCCTTTGCCCTACAGGTCTTGGGCTCCAGGCTTTGCAACTGTGGTTATTCAGTCACCGAGGACTCCAGAAACCAGACAATGCCACTCTGTGCAACCAGGAGCTACGCCCACTATACCAAAGTTGGCTTGTTAGTTTTCAAATGTTGACAAGTTCCATGACTAAATACTCATAAAAGAGGGTAGCTCAGAGTCACTTCCATCACTTCCGTTGGCAGGACATTTTAAAAAGCTTAAAACTCAAACATTTCTGCTGGCTTTTCTTTCAGCTTCCTGACTTTTCGGTAACCCCTTATGGCCACAACGGCACCGAGGGCAAAGACCACAATGGCCAGGGCAGCAAAGATGCCAGCTCCTATATCTCCCCCATGGAAACTGCAGCTGAAGCCACTGTACCCCTTGCTTTGGTACAGCGCTTCCCTCTGTTTACACACAGGAGAGTCGTAGGCAGCGGAGAGGTAGTGAAAATGGAAATACAAGGCCGGGATGTATGCCACAGCAATAAGCACATCCAGCAAGCCTTCAATCACCAGACACAGTGGGCAATGCCACGGGACCCGCAGGGCACCCATGGCGATGAGGAGGCAGCAGAAGGCCATGAGAGCTCCACTGTAGGCCATTGCCGCAGTGACTGTGGGCAGCTTCAGCTGGTAGAACTGGACGTCCAGCTGCTGGGCTTTCTCCCCGTCAGCACCATCGAAACCACTGTAAGCCCCTCCGAACTGGTAGTGGTAAATGCCCCCCAGGCTGGTGATGCCTGTGTAGCCCCCCGTGGAATTGTAAGATACAGAGCTGCAGGCCAGGATCAGCAAGTTCAGGAGAATCTCCAGCATT